ATTGATAAACTACTGAAGACTTTTGCTAAAGCAAAATGGTTTACTACATTAAATCTAATAAGTAAATATTGGCAAGTAGCCATGAGTGAGATCAATAAAGAAAATAATACATATGTTATCTTCTTTATGGTGTATAAATTTAACATAATACTATTTAAGTAATGTAATGCTTTAGCAATGTTTCAATGTTTAATAGACAAATTGCTTATGAAATATATTGAAATGTCTGTGTTATATATCTTGATAATATTATTATGTTTTTCATGACTTTTAGAAATCACTTGGAATATATTAAAACAATCTTTGGTGAATTAAAGAATACTGATTTAAAGCTAAACCTGGAAAAGTGTATCTTCTTTTGAACAGTGATCTAATTTTTAGAACATATTATAAAAAGAGATAAAGTTAAACCTGATACAGAAAAAGTGGATAAAATCAAAAACTTTTCAATACTGAAGAACTTAAAACAATTGAAAGGATTTATTGAACTGGTATCATATTATTAATATTTCATCAAGAATTTTGCAATAAATACTTGACTATTATATTATCTATCAAAAAAAGAAATCAAATTTGAGTGAAAAAGTGATAAAATTATGACTTTGAAATATTGAAAATAAATTTGATTACTAGTCCTGTACTATGCTATTCTGAATTTACTAAAACTTTCTTCATTTACATGAAAGCATCTGAGACTAGTCAAAAAGCAATTTTAATACAAAATGATGAGAACAGAAAAGAATTTGTTATTTTCTATGCTATTTGAGAACTAATCATGTATAAAAAGTATTACTCAACAATATAATTGAAATGCTTAGCTATTATTTGAACAGTTGAGCATTTTCAGCACTATTATAGATTGAATTCATTTGTGATTGTTACCGATAATATGGTATTGCAATAGCTTAAGATGTCAAAGTTGATTGGAAGATGGTTCGATAAATATTACATTTGCAGTTATATAATTTTACTATAAAATACTGAAAGGGAAAAGAGCATAGTAACACTAATGCATTGTCATATCTTTAACTAATTCTCTGAACCAAAGTAAAGAAAAAAAAAATTTTTTTTGAGAAAGCTTATTAAAAATATATAAATAATGATAAGGAGGAGATTGGATAATTAGAATTATAATACATAGATTCAACACACTATATATATTTGAAGATATATCTACAAATACACAAATTATCAACTTCCTCGAACAATTAAATGAGGGTGAAAATATAAAAAAAGAACAAATTCTTTGAGTTTCAGAATATACACTATATAAAAAGAACTGCCATAAGAAAAATTACTTATTGTATAAAATTCAAAAACATGAGGTTGGGCCTATACTATATCTGAAACATCAACATCCCTTGGGAGAATATTTTGAAAAGAATATATATAATATTTGCAAAGATACAAAATGACTACTACTGGCCCTAAATGTATGCAGACATATGAGCTTATGTATAGTAATATAATTAGTGTCAAAGATATGGAAAAATACATATATTTGCCTCTTTATACCCAATCCTTATGGCTACACCATTCCATCAAATTGGAATTAATTTTATTGAATTTTTGCCAAGAATACTGAGGTTAAATAAATATATCTTAGTTTCAATAAATTATAGGACAAAGTGGCCGAAAGTCAAACCTGTAAAGAAAGCTGATGTAACAATAGTAACTAATTTCTTGTATTATAATATCATTTGCTACCATGGATGCCTGCAAATTATCATATTAGATAGAGGGACTCATTTTCGAAACAGTATAGTAGAAACATAATTAATAAGAATAAAGATCACTTATCTTTTGTCAAAACTGTATTGTCCAAAGATCAATGGACTCATGAAGCAGTTTAACTGAACCTTATGTAAATAGATAATCAAATTCATTAAATACATAACTAATTGGGACTTACTAATTCCATTTATTATCTTCACCTATTGAACTACAAAGTATACTTTCATAAAGTTGATGCCATTTTATTTGATTTATAGATATGAAGCCTGTTAATTATATCACTCTAGTTTGGCTGGCAAATTGTTAGAAGGGATGGTTCTTCAAAGAATTTTCAAACTGATAGAGCACTTATCTCAAATTCATGAGATTGCTATCTATAACATATGACAAGTCCAGGTCTGACAAAAAGTATATCATGACTCGAAACATAAGAAATATGTCATGTTTAATATTGAAGATAAGGTATTGATATATTAAGTGGTACTTGAGTATTCTTAGAGCAACAAGTTCAGACCAAAATGGCAAAGCCTATTTTATATATACAAGTGTCTACTCAATAATATTTATTAGTTACATATATTGAATGGATGACTATTGGCAGCCTCCTTTTATATCCAAATCCTTAAGCTGTATTATGAAGTCCTACCTATTAATCAACTTATATGAGGGCATATAAGATAAGTACTGTAAATATTATGAATTATGTGGATGATGTGATTTACGTGTAATAGTTTAGAATCCAAAAACCTGAAAGTCTGACATAAAAGATTAAGTATTATAAGGTAAGAAACTATAGATTGAGACTTGATACTGATTAGGAAACTATATATGTTTGAAAAAGTATGGAAAGTTAGCAAAGTTTAGGGTTAGTATAGTTGATTAAAATAGAAAGTCTATTGTTAGTTAGAAAAGTATAAATAGCTTACCAATGTATACTGAGAAAGCAATGTTAAATGTATTAAAAAACAGTTCCTATTATGAATAGAGATAAAAGTTAGTGATATATAAAAGAAACAAAACATGAATAAAGATACACTTATTCTTGACCAAGTCAATTATCATGTCTCTATCTTCCCTAAGTATTCTTTATAGGAGGCGTTCTCTTCTTTGTATCAATTGTAAGTATTTGTGAGTTGTCTAAGTTATTTGAGGTGCTACAGATTAGCAATGGTCTCATCAGATTAGCCCATGACTAAAGATGTGTCCCTAAAGTAGTTTGGTTGGGACAAAAGTAGAGATGTAAGTCAAGTTGACTTTTGGTTATAAGGATATTGACTTTTGGTTATAAAAATATAACTTATATTAACTTTTAATTAAAATATATAAAATTTTAATATCATATCGATCAAACTTTTTTCCATTTACTTGAGGCACAGCAAACCCAGATCACAAAATGAAAAAGAGAATACAATATGGAAAGAATCAGAAAATCACAATATGCAAACAGTAGGCTGAACTACAACATAGATAAGATATCCAAGGGCAAGGTCATCCCTATCACAAGAAATAAAGAACAAACACCTGAAAAGAAACAAATAGTTACACCCCCCAAAAAATACTACTCAAAAACAACTATCTTCCTCTGAAACTACCCCTATTACTGAACTAACCCAAACCAACAGCAACAAGACAGCAACAGGCCTCAGTAAAAGTAATAACAACAATACTAGCTTATGAAATAAGCAAGTCAAACATGAACAACAACAAGTAACCATAACTTCAGAATACACAAATGGCAGTGAAGAAGTACAGCAACAATTTTCAGCAAGAATAAATGACTTTGATATTGATATGGATATTAACAAAGAACTATCAAAGACAGAAGATGACTGGCAGCTAGCCGGCAACAACAGACAGAAAAATTGAAAGCCACTGATGCAAGCAATCAGCTCAAGACCATGACCTAAACCACTTTTCAACCCAAGTCTTAGATACAGATGTGAAAGGATCAAGCTTGGAATCAAAGCATCTTTCATCCCTAGTATAACAATCCACAAAAAGATTTCCTATCTCACAAAAACTCTCAATTCCAAAGGCCTCCTCCTCATACAAAACAAACACTGCAACAATACAGACTACATCATTACTATTTTCAGTAATTAACAAGTAGCAGATTATGCAAGCAACTTAATCTTACTAGATACAGACAATCTCAGCCTATTGCATATAGAAAAAACCATTCACAGACTTAACAAGAAATGCAGTATTATCATGTGGGACATCTCTTGAGTACAAAGTTTATTGATGTACAATAAACTTTTACTAAATTCAGACAGATCAACAATATTAAAATGATCACAAGACAAATGAGGCAAATGACAACAATTATCTTTACCAATAAGAAGGATAAGCTCAAACTCCTGGAAAATTGGAGCATACCAATTAAAGCAAATTCAGTAAGAATTTTTGACACAAAATGGAATCTCAAATAAATGAAAGACTGAGAACATACTTGCTCAAGCTTACAAACCTTCCACCAAACACAAATACATTTGATCTTCAAATGATCTGCCAAGAAACAAAGGCCAAAATGTGTTACATACCATGTCTCCTATCATACAAACCTGCAAATATGCAGTCCTCAGTTTTGAAAATAAAACTGATCTTCAATCAACTCTAGATAGAACATTTACTCTGGGCAAAACTCACTGGAATACAAACTTATCAACATCAAACTCTGCACCATTCATAACAGTCCACAACACCTGGTAGCACAATGCGACATTAAAGAGAGAAGAGAACAATAAAATAATTACAATAGAAAACATGTCAACAAATTCAGAAGACTATAACAATATTATAGGCTGGCAAAATCTATACTTATCAGAAGGATGGTATAATTGCTAATGAAGAAAAACACAAGCTCTCCAGGATCATTCACCACTGCAGTAAAGAATATAAAACTCTTGTCATCAGTGATCAAACTATCAACAAGACATAATCCAGGATATAGTAGACATGCTAGCATCTATCCAGAAAGAACTTCGCAAAATAAAAGTGGCAATATAGAATCTCGATAAAGAATTGATAACCTGGAATCATATTGTTATGACAATACAAAAGACATGCAAGAAGAGTATACTCTGGAAACAAAATCCATAACACAAACCATAACAAACACATCAAACCTAAATGATATTCAACAACAATAACAACTTCACAATTCTATCAGCAACATGGATTGAACAATAAATGCCTTGGTATCCATGATTGCCAACATAATTCCCGGAAACAGAACCTCATCTCCAAACTATTAATAAAACATTATGAATAATAACACATGTAACATCTTAACAAATGAAACTCCATCAGCTCAATCAGAACTCTTACAGAATGACACCTCTAAACAGCAAGAAATCAACACTAAATCAACAAATGAGACAATACCACACAAGGACATCAACAATCCACATCCCACACAAGTCTTTTCAAACAACTTCAGATAGATACAAGACATGGACAATAGCAGTAGCATACTATGAGATCAAACAAAGGAACCAAACAACAATCATCCATACTGGATCATAGTCACACTCAATTGCAGAGGACTCAATGAACGACTCAAAAGAAAAACTTGATTCACAACATGGCAAATAAACAAATGGGAAATTATCTTTTCAATAGAAACAAATGGTATAGATCAAGAAACAATAACATGAAAGACACCCAAATATTCAACCAAGTGGACAGGTGACAGGCTCAATGAAGTAGAAATAGGCGTTCCTATCAAGAAACCCCTATTAAATCAAATAATATGCATTCAAAAATACTAGTTTTATGCCATCTGTATAGACCTGGCATTTCCAAACAAAAAATACTATAGAATAATAGGAATCTATCTATCTGCTATACCAGGACAACTCAAAGATGAAATACAGAAACAAGTCATTACTTGGATAAAGCAAACAATCAAAACAACTGGTATATTATAGTGAGAGGAGACTTCAATTGCTGTACATCCTTCAAACTCGATAAAGTGAGTAGCAACAAAAAGATACACAAGTACTACATAAACAAGTTTTGTCAAAAGCTTCAAGAGCTGAATTTGATTGATTCATATAGACATAATAATCTATACAGCAAAGAATATATATGACATGCTACCCCACAACAGCATCATGAAATATCAGCGAGCAGAATTGACATGATCTGAACCAGCTCCTGTCCAACATGGTGCATCTTGGACACTTTCATATCTAACAATCTAGACATCACAACAAATCATAATACCCAGTATAGATTTTATATATCCATCCAACAAAAATGCGATTTTCCTTCCCAAAGTCACATGTCAATCTCCAAAATGTGACTAATAAACTATAGCTATTTTGATTCAAAAAATATCTTTCCTTATTAGCCAAAAACGATTATCAACTCCTTAAATACTGATTTTAACTTCTTGCCATGAAATACTAATGAAGATTTCTTTCCTGAGTCATGTATCATGTGACATGAGTGCCGATCCCATAGTACCAGAGATATGCAATATAAACAGTTCTACAAACATTATAATTATTCTATTATTAGTATGAATTAGTGATACTAACAGAGTTTCCA